GGGGGGGGGGCGGGCTTCCGATGCCCCGCCCCCCACACTGCCACTTTCATTTCCCACCAAAACTAGATGCCTCCGCTACTTGGAGAAACTAAGGCACAAGAGATGATCCAGCACATCACAGGCTCAGCCCCAAGTTCTTCAGTTTACTCAACAAACTAGTGACACCTGCCGAGGGGCCGAGGCACAGAACTCGAGCAACGATTTTACACATTTCTAGTGAAGGACGTGCTTGAGTTTGGGAGGACCCCGCACTTTAAGATCTTTCCATGGAAAAGCTGTTTTCATTTTATGAACTCCTACCATGAAAGGTGACATTTATCTGCTAAGACAGGAGACTCTTTCCAGTGCAGCCACGGAGCACTGTCACCAAATTCAAAGGAGAAACTCGGCGTTTTGGTGTTTGTGCCCCAGGCGGCTGCGTCTCAGGATGTTCCTCCCCAGCGGCAACAATGTTGCAACATGTAACAGCCAGCGCCCGCTCACCCTGTGGCAGGTGCCAGGCAGGCACAGGAGGAATCAGGAAGCACTGGGTTCTCCAGGCCGGGCGTCCGCCGGGCTTTCATACACGGCGGGATAAAGGCCCGGGGAGTGAAGGCTCTGTCCGCAGATACGGAAACTGTTTGCTTTTCAACCTGCGTAGAGTTAACTGTAGGACACTCGGCAATCACACATGTACACAGGAGCTGGTGGTTAAACCAACTACATTTTTATGGCTTTTACTGGAGACAGAAGTGCTAAGGGAGGAACAGGCAGATTCCACTCGTCACCACGAACCTGGTGACACAAAGCCTCGTGCATCTTCCCGTTTTTATGCAGCCCCCTGGCTGAGAAGTGTTTTGGGTCCGGTAGGCTGCTCGGGAAAATAGCTTCAACACACACCATCTGCCCAGTTCCCTTTGCCAAGCAACTGGTGATCTTTATACGTTTATGGCTAAAGCCCAAACTGTGGGATGAAGGCTACTTACTGGCTGATGTCTGGAGGCCTAAACAGGTACAAGTGGAAATCATTCTTGTCACCTTCAATGGGCAAAATCTGTAACCTAGACACACAGGTGTCTGGGTATGAAGCACATTTTTACCCACAGAAACCAGCAGACTAACAGATAAAGATCCCCTCCTCTTTGGTGAACAGACCGAGAGCACCGTGGGGGTGAGTGCCAACCAGAAAGCTGTGCATCAGAGGTCCTGGCAAAGGAGATGTCCAGCAAAGTGGCCGTCTCCGGTCAGGCTGGCCGCTACCACTTCTGCTGGTGACCAGGTCTCGCAATGACTCTTCTATTCTCCGAGAAGCTAATCTCGAATCTCTGCACTTTGAGTAAAAACTGACAGCTCACTGGCATCCAGCTTCTTAATCCCCTTGTGCCTGGAGCCGCTGAATTTACAAATGACCCAAAACTCTCCCAGTATTAACAACTCTACTTCCATACAAACAATGGACAGGGAACAAGATCTTAAAAACAAGAAGCAATCACACACTGGAAAATAAATGAGGAAGGTCAAGGACATTTGGGTTAAGCTCATTGAAAGTATTCATAACAAGAATACATGTACACCTACGGGCCTGGTCAGTTTTCTCCTAAAAATAAATATACGCCCATACACTACTGCAGTGAATCCTTCTCTGGACTGATCCCCCCCCCC